TTGGCTTAACGGGGCGATGGCGTTCGGGGAGTCGGATCGATGGCAGGCCAAGATCTTCCGGGACGGGTTGCCGACCTTGCAGCGGAAGTGGCTGAAGAACGCCTTCCGGGCCATGATGACCGCCTGCATGGGCGCCTCGAGTCCATTCTGAGGGGTTCTCACCGGATTTGGAAGGATTCCATCTGCGCAATTGACTCAAACTCACTCACGGCATGGTGGATGAAGGGAATGGCATTGCGGAGACTTTCAACTGCTGGGGCCAGCGAAGTCCTGCTCGTTTTTGTTTTGGAATCAACAATCACGCTACCCAGTGCGCACAGTGTACCACGAGTCCAAAATTTGAACTAAGTACTATCAACATCCACAAGAGGATTCTTCATGGATCAGATCTTTCATTTGGCCCTGTTGGATACATTGAAAGTTTGATTGGGATCCTTGACTCGTCATCAAGAAAAGGGACCTACCCACCTTTCTAAAACAATTGTCCAATCTTCAACGGGATAAAGGTCCTTGCTTGGCCTTAGGCCTGAACTGCTTGTGGTGCTGAGTGGCCACGCGCTCTATGTTGCTAGGCAAATTCAAACGCGAGGGTTTTAAGTTGCGACCCCGAGGAAGGTCGTTTCCTTGCCGGTTGAAGGTCCCTTCCTTGCCGGTTGAAGGTCCCCTCCTTCGGGCCATGTTTAGACGTCGAATCATGATTCACCCAAGTTAATTTCGAGGGTTGTTCTCATAAACGGCTTCCGATCTCTTCGAGGATGTGTGTAGTGCTTCCCCTGATTAGTAACCCCCCGGCCCTTCAAGGTGGACAAGGTCTGCCCCCAAAACTCGTATTTTTGGAGACCCGCCTGATTAATCTGAAGCCCCTTCGGTCCTTGTCCTCTTACTTCTGGCCCCTTCTGGGCAATAGGACTCAAAAGGCAACGGCATTTTGTTTGATTTTGAGCCGAACAGGGCCCTGATTAATTGCGGGGGGTTGTCTGTTGATGAGAGGGAGCTGGCCTCCAACGGGGGTCCCCTTTGCTAGCTTGAACACCTTGTCATTATAAGCAACACTTACTAAAGAAAAATGCTTCTTGGGGGAAGCACATTTCTGGCGAACCTTGAGGGGTTCAATAGTGACTTAGTATTGGTCCGGTGGGTTTAAGGACAGACTGAGCAGATACTACGCACCTCTTTTTCTGGCAGGCATGTTTGGCTTCGGGGCGGCAGGGGGATACCTTTGTTCAGGGGTGTTTTTGAGGAGACACGAAAACATATAGGGGTAGGGTTTTAGGGCAAACGTTGTTGGCCCTTTACTTTAGTATTGGTGGGAATCTGGGAGAGAAATGGGGAAACCTTTAATCGTGGGGGGGGGAGGGGCGGGTTACCAATCGCGCGCTGACAATAGCATCCTAAAGGAACCCATTTGAGAACCCATTCAACAGGTCGCCCAACTGTTACGCGCGTGCCCACAAATGAGTGAGACTGACTCATGTTTTTGCCATTCAGTTGAGTCTCGAGAGGCGGCTTGGCCTGGAAGATGGCCAAATACCTGCCCATTTTCATCTCCATGCTTGGCTGCTTCTGCAGCCGGGGCCCCACAGCGCCGGAAGGTGTGTCCAGACCTCCAGGGCTGGAATACTTTTTCCTATGTTTTTGTTGGAGGGGTTTGCCTGAAAGCAAATGCTAAACAAATATGGGTAGCCGTGATTTTGACCCCCGGGTCTTGCATGATAGCTTCCCTGGATACCTACTGTAATGATGGGAACAGGAAGCACTGCTAGCTAAATTTCCCCTTAAACACCAGAAGAACATCACCTACATTAGTCCGCCCAAGTGATGTTCAAAGTGGCTTAAGAGGGCGACCAGCTAGGCCGCTGGGCACCGATCTAGAAAGAATGGCTTGCACGACGGGAGGGCGGGCTGAAACCCGAGTCTTCCAAAAAGGGCTGCCAATGCCGAAGCGGCTTTGCCAGCTGTTTGATGCAGGAGCGCATGGAGAGGCAAAGCTGGAGGCTTTGTTGTTCAGTTTGTCACCCATCTTAGGGGCAGGTGCCATGGATGATGGGTGCATGCTTGTTTTAGGGAGGAGAGTGTTTCTGGGCAACATGTGGGGTCGAAAGTATGACCTCAGGCCAAGGTTCCTTCTTGAATTTCCCATATTTCAGGTGATTGACGGGAGCAGACCAAATCTTAAGCATTTGGATGATCTTGGGCCAAGCCTTCCAGCCTTCCGGTAGCCTTCCAGTGACAGGTATCCCTTTGGCGATCATTTTTCCCGGGATGCTGCACTTGAAGCTGGTCAAGGACTTGAACAGTCGATCCGAGACGCGCTTCGAGGCGTTCCAAGAGCCCATGGGCCCTAAATGGATATGAATTGTAATAGGGAACCACCTGTGATGTGCACCAAAGAGTCCCCATTATAATTCTCACCCACATGGGTTCCAACAAATGGGTTCTGCGCGGCTACTGGTTTGGGTGCAGATTCGATCTTCAAGTTTCTGGATCAAAGGTTTGGTGCTGTTTCCCAACCGTTTTGGCACAGAGTCCTTTCAGTCGGCCAACGATTGGAAAGGCCGCCCGAAGATTTTGCAGCCGCATCTTGTGGAGGATAGACATGCCAACAAGGCGAGTGCAAGACCCTGGAGTCTTGTTTTTGTGGACATTTGGGCAGGTGACCGTATGATATTGCCAGCTTTTTGCACGGGGTTCTGGTAGGCCCCGTCTCCTGCAAACGGGGCAACACATCCCTCTCATTTTTCCCCAAGGTTAGTCCTTGAAGGGATCAACTCAGGAAGGTTTTAGAACTCACGGCTGCGTCCGTCTCACAGGATGCTCCGATGCTGGACACAGCCTTGATCGCATCTTGGATGCTAAGTCTGCTCGCCTGCCCCATGTCGTATTCTGAAAGAACATGCAGATGGTCTGTGAACGATATCTTTGCATGGAGGCAAGAGGTAATGAAAGCACCCGGAACTGGAGTTTGGGGTTCTACTTTTAACAAGGACATGCTTGTTTGTCCTAGGGGGGAGTCCTTTGACTAGTAGGGTCCTCTAAATTCATCCGATGTTAACATTACATCTCCCTGTAGTTGCTGACATTACATTTCCCCGTGTTTGGTGGGATGTGGCGGGTGTGTCTGTCTAGTGTCTCTCTCTCTCTCTCTCTCTCTCTCTCTCTTTGTCTTTCTCTTTCTCTTTCTCTTTCTCTTTCTCTTTCTCTTTCTCTTTTTCTTTCTCTCTCTCTCTCTCTGTGTTTTTGGGATGATTCTGTTGACATCGAGCATCTTGGAGTTATTTTGGGCGGGTACCACACATGGCCCATATGGAGGCAACGGCCCACTTTTCCGGCTGAGGCCATTGGCCTGGTGCTGGTGCCCATGACGCTCTTCGTGGACATCGCCAACATGCACGACTGAAGCGTCTACTCCGGCGCAGGTTTTTTGTGAACTTGGGAAGTGGCAACTCATTTTCGCGCATGTGGCCAATCCCTATCCTTACAATGAAACCTTACAGCCCGAGGAACATACGCGTTGGGTTTCGACTGCTCTTTCCGAAGCCTGTGCCCAGTGGGTTGCCCGATATACGTGCGAATGCGCGCGGGGCTTGCTGCGAGCATCTTCGAAAGTTGGGGGGCGGGATGACCTGGAAACGCGGTGGGTGGCAGGCCCTTCCCCGCAAAGTCGAGGAGGCGGCAAGCCACGAGAGAGGTACCGAGCCCAGAACTTTTTTGCCGGGCGCGGCGCTTTTCCTCGTGGTTTTCGGTGTTTCAAACTGGCAGACGTCTGTGCTGGCCCTCTTGGCCCTTTCTCCTGGCCCGGAGGGTTGGCAACGTTGGGAATCAAACTCTCCCGTGGCATTCAAGCAAAAAGCACAGTCTTTTTTGCCGCCGCCCGTTGAACATGAGCAGAACCGAAAGGCTCTCAGAGACCAAACAAGCACGCCAGGAACGGTGAAGTACCACCCCCTCTTGGGCCAACCAAACCTGCCCGACCCCTAGGGTGCAGACCCCGGGGTGGGGCCCTGTTTTCGGGGCCTGCGGCAGGGCATTTGAAAGCCGCGGATCGGACTCAGCGACCACTGACTCAAGTTGCCACAAGCGTCCGGTCCGCTTGGGAAAGGCCCACAATCCCTTATGCTCGCAGCGCAGTCTCCAGCTTTGGCCCTGCCGAAAAGACAAGGCGCGCTCGACCACTCCACTGCCGCTTGGAAGTGGGCAGGGATGGAGATGGGAGAAGAGCTGCCTTACCTGCGGCAGAGGCAATTGCAAACACTGCAAACTGGTTCTCGTTTGGTGTGGACCTGTTCCCACCCAAAGAGAAGAGACATGGGGAGCAATGCGACGAGACCACTTGGTTATCCAGGAGTTGCCATCACATGGGGGCGGGGGGAGCCATCATTTGAATGTACGGCATGGCCGGCAATCTATAGAGACTCGCAGCTGACTACCTGCCGCGACATGCGAAAAAGCCAAGCGCGCCAGATGCCACGGTGCTGGGATTCGTTTAAACAAGAGCCACAAAGGGAGGGGGAAGCGGGATGCCGGAGGTGGATGGTTCTACGATGATCCTGGGTAAAAGTAGATGGCACAATTCCAATCCGTTTTGATTTTGTCAGCCCCTTTGTTTACCATGTCTACCAGGAATTGTGCCATATACTTTCAGACAGATGGCGACGTGGCACTTTCAGAGGTGTGCAAACAAGGGGCCCTTTTGGTCGGTTCAAGGGAAACCGAAAGGAAACAAACGTTGAAATCCCCAGATGTTGGGGTTGGTCTTCAGAGTTGCAAGTGCCAGATATGGGTCTGGTTAAGGCAGTGATTCGAGTTGATTTCAGAGCTGGTGCTTCTTTTCATGTTGACGCATGATGCATGATGCCATCGGTTCTTCATCAGGGTCCCCGAAAGAGAATCAGGAATCTCCCGAACAAGGGCCTCCCTTAAGGATAAGGGCTTCTTTATCAATCATGGGTTGACAATGACAGAAACCGCGGCATGGGCTTCACCCCCGGACACCCAGAAAGGTACCTTGGCGAGAGACACGGCGCTCCGAGCGGCGCTCGGATTGCAGTGCTGGCCCTTTGTTGGATCCCCCATGGAAACCCTTGAAAAATTCACCCAAAACTCGCTTGGTACATGTAGAAACCAGCTTGAAACAGTGGGTACAGGTGAAATGTATCCTTTAAGCCCTAGAAACAAATCATCACGGCCATTTTGACAGCCATGACCAAGACACCCAGTTGTTGTACATGTTTTCTTGTAGACTGTACACCGATTAAGGTTTTCTTCAGTGACAGTGGATGCTGCTGGCCTCAGCACGCGTCAGATGATTCCGTGAAATGCGTCATGATCAAATGGCACATGTGCACATCAGCTGCGGTAGCTTGAAGGCAATGGGCGTGGCTTGCGGCCCCCAGAGGGGTGGAAGAACATTTGTGCCCCTCGTGCAAGCTTGCGTTTCTCCCATGATAGCACTCCTCAGCAAATCTCCAGTGACTGGGAAGGGTTTGCTTGTCCTTCCATGCCACCCACGAGAATGAGGACCTTTGGCTTGGCCAAACTTTTCGCAGAGCTCATCCGTGAAGAAATTGAGCTCTCTGGGCCTGAAAGCTCGACAAACACACGTGCAGTGCCCTGGTGGTTGAGCGTGAGGTGCAGTCAGACGGGTTTTGCCGAGAACGTAGGCCCACAATTCCCCTCTTGATTGCAAGCTGGGGATACTGCTTGAGCTAAGCTCGGTGACTAGCTAGGCGAGAGTATGCTTTGCCTGCGGCCTCAAGTGCACATGCGCACACACAAACTCTGACCACGTCTGGGTACAACCCCCTTGTGCACTATGTCAATTGTTTGCAGCCAGTGTTTGTTCGTCAGTTCCATCACTTTTGGCTAATGATGATCGGGAGATGCTAATGCTTTTCCTGTTTACGGGCTGTGTCCATCCTTTATTGTGTTGGGTGTCACCCCTCGCCTTGTTCAAGCTTTCAAGGAGACCAGTGTAACACCAAGTTGGGAACAGGAACAACAAGTGCCAAGTGGAATGACACCGGGGGTTCGGGGCATGCCACTTGTGGCACCAGCCTCCGACAGCCCAGGCTCAAGCTGAAGGGGCTGTTCTCCCTCTCGAGGCATCCGTGGTTGGGAAAAGACTTGCGCACTTGGCTGCTTGGTTTATCAGCTGGAGAGGTTCATATGTTCTTGAGCATATAAAATGGCGCATGGATGCTTCCGGGACTTGCTGAAAGGGCCTTTGACGATTTTTTCCTGGGCAAGGATGCAGCATGCAGGCGGCTCCAGACGCGTGAACCTGCTGGCACTTTGCCGCGGAGAAGCAGCCCGCAAAGAGTAGAGCGTCCTGTGTTTTGATGGCGGCCCAGACTTGACACAAGAGAGAGCGAGCGTGGGACGCACTTTCAGGGGCTATCCAACAACCATTTGTTTGGATGTTAAGGGCTTTAGGTGACATCGGTTGTTCAGTGGACTTTGCTGTGCGCCATGTCAATCGGCCTTGCTTATGGTCAGGCTCTTGGAGAGTGATTCTAGAATACAAAGCGTCGCTGATGGCTTTGCGCGGAGCATGAGCCCTCTACTGGCACTGATTCCAGACTTGACTTTTCTAAGTCAAACTAAGGCGACCCCCGACATGCTGGCTTTCACCTTCGTTTGCCTTTTTTAACCAAGGTGAACATGGGTGCGACTCCCAACAAATGGCGCGCAATATGACGCTTTTCCTTTTGGTTCCCCTGTAAACCTACCGGAAAAGGGGCAGCACACGCGGCCTCCTGGCAGGCCGCAGGCCCCGAGCAACCTGGTCTCGGGCCCCGGAGATGGGGAGGGGACGTCATGGAGCTGGGCGGCTTCCGTTGGCTTCCCTAAGCCCCAAGGTTCCTTGCCCGGGGCAACGCGCCGGATCCTTGATTTATCCAATTGATCCCTCCATTGCACTCGTGCTTTGAGAAAGCATGAGCAGTTCCAGAGATGCTGTCTTGCTGAAAGGATGGATCGCTGGAACGAATCGGGGAATGTACGGATAGGATCTATCCCGTATGTCCTGCACCTCCCACACATCACCAGCAGGGGTTGAAGGGAATCCTTAAATCTCCGCCCTCATGCTGGGAAGAGCCCTTTACTGTATATGTGAAACCTTTGGCAGCCTTCATTCTGCCCCCCCCCCCCCCGAAGTGCCGTTTGATCGCAACTCACCAAAGTATCGCTGGTTTGCGGTAGGTAGTCCCCTTTTGACTCTGAAAGCTCTGCAGATGACATGGTATCAGTGCATGCTTACGCGCGCTCAGACCATGCAACAACAAGCCTGTTCTGAACTTGGCGGGAGCATCCTTTAGGAGTAAACCGCTCGATCCTCACAACTCATGGTGGGTAGTCTGTTCTAGTCAAACTGGGCCCCTCAAACAGGGGACCCCCCAAACAAGGCATAAGGCACTCACTAGGAACCTGATAAACCTTTTTGTTCACTAGTTCGCCCCTGGGATTGCGGGGCCCTATTTGGCCCTCCCCACCCTCCCTTTGGGGGGCCCCTTGACCATAGAAGGGTTCCCTAAACTTTTCCCTGATGGTTTTGAGCGTCACCTTCCAGTGATCCCAAGGCGGGCAAGCGGCTGCTGTGGCACGGGCGCGGACACCCAGGGCCTTTGGACCGAAAGCCTTGGGCCCTTCTGTTTGGATGCTGGTGCAAATGAGGGTTGTGATGATGATAATGATGATGATGATGATGAGGAGGAGGAGGAGGAGGAGGAGGAGAGAAAACGACGGCACATGAGTCAACAACTATATAATGCATAATTCTGATTGTCAGCATAACAAGATCGCTAATTACAGATTACATGTACATACATATGTAATACGTATATATATATAATATATATATATATATATATATGTATGTATGTATATATATATATATAGAATATAATGTATACAGGCTGAACACGAGTTGTTCCGTGCTCGGCCCAATTCGCTTCGCTCCGCTCGCAGGGTGCCGCGGACCGCCTGGCTGGGGCTCTTGGCCAAGGGCCTGCGGCTGCCGCCCCGGGAGGCGCTGGCCGGCCGTCGATTCGTCGAGTGGCGTTGCGCGAATGGTCTCAGCGGTGCTGAAACGGGTGCCTAGGCCATGGCAACGCTCATGGGTGAGGTTGCTTTCTTCGTGTAAAACGAGACGGACATGGATGGACCCTCCAAGTGGCCGGTTTCCTTTTTGGTTTCCCGTTGGAACAATCTCAGCAAAAAGAAGCACACACATAATTACCCACAATGTCAGGGCCGCTAAAGGCCATGTCGTGTCGACCCTACGAGCTGGGGTTGTTCTCCCAATACAGTCGATTTGGGTTGAAACCCTTTGGGCAAACCTGACCCTGGGGATCCCGGCACGCGAGAACGGATGGATATCACGCAGGCACCCAGCTGCGATGCCTTCGGCAAGGGCCTCTACTTCTTTGACTCCGCAGGCGCGTTTCGTGGATTTTCCAGCCCCCAGGGAGCAATGGTATGAGATTTGCTTGCTGATTTTCTTGCTTGTTTTCTTGCATGTTTTCTTGCTTGTTTGCTTGCTTGTTTGTTTTCTTGCTTGTTTTCTTGCTTGTTTGCTTGCTTGTTGCTTGTTTGTTTGTTTGTTTGTTTGTTTGTTTGTTTGTTTGTTTGTTTGTTTGCTGGTTTGCTTGCTGGTTTGCTTGTTTTTTCTTTGTTTCTTTCTTTGTTTGTTTATTTGTCGTTGTGTGCATGACTTAAGTTTTTCTGAAGTTTCCTTTTCAGCGCCATCCTCAAAGGGGTCCATTTTTTTTTGTAACAAATTTAGGACATGTCTTTCTCCACGGCGGACTCAGAGTGTCAGAGTTTTCGCTTTGTTGACGGCGTGAGACTAAAGAAAGGCTCGTTGTAGAAGCCCTTTTCCGAAAGACTCCTTTCTTGGATATGTGGATGGTTTTTGATGGTTGTGGATGTTTATGGATGGATACCCTGCTTGTGAAAAAGAAGGATTGTGCCAGTTGCTGGCAAGACTTGCTCACCTGGAATTGCGGTGCCTTCTTTGACCATTCTCAAAGTCAGCACCGAGTGTTAGGCTTGAAAGAAGCTGACCTTGACCCGCCCTGGAAACACCCAAAGAGTGACCCCAGCAATGGGAACTCAGGATCAATCAGCACCCCTTGATTGCTGTTTGCTGGTTTACGTGTTCGCCTGCGTGCCCCCTGTCAATGTGGAGATCTGGATCACTTTTGGGACGGAAAGCCCCAAAGGTGTCCCCAAATTGATTTCTAGGGGGGGCTCATCCCCGACGGATGTCTCCAAGAGATTTCTCTCGGATGGGGTGTCTTTCGGGATTTTGCTGAGAGAGAGCAAGTGACAACCGGGACTCCCCTGCATCTGGGGAGATCGAGGCCAATGACTGTAACAGCAGCCGGGTTTTTCTTCTGGCATTGTATTGAAAGGGAGCCAACATGAGGTATGTGTGGAAACAAGGAAGCCCTCGTATGGGTCTGGTCGAGGCGCGTTTTCTTGCCCAAAGGACGCTGATCACATTCTTGTCTCAGACATTTTGATACTGTGACCGACTGTGAGAATGGGACACACATACCCCGGCCAGTTGCCGAGCACGCCTTGAGTCTTGGGTTTGCCCCTACAAGGCCCCCCCCCCGCCAAACTCCCTTGACTTTCACAAAAGGTCTCCAAAGCGAAGCCCCGCGATCCCAGCTCTTTTTTTCTCTTCTCCACCTCTGGATCCCCAGGCGCCGCGCTGGACTTTGCCTCTGGCAGCGACTTCCTGCTGCTGGCGGAGGCGCAAGCGCCGCTGTGCAAGGTATCCGTGGCCATCCCCGTATTTCTCCAAGCCGTTGAGTATGTGTCAAAATAGGGGGACAAACAAGTGGTGGCTTTCCCTGTAACTCCACTTGAAAAGGGAGCCCTCAAAAGAATCACACACACACAAACACACACACACACACACACACACACACACACACACACACACACACACACACACACACACACACACACACACACACACACACACACACACACACACACAC